TTTGCACCTTCCAGAGCCAGTCAATACCGGTGGAGCGGCAAGAATGGCCAGGTCGTTAAATTTGAAATTGATTTTATTAAATATTCCAATGTTTACTAAACTTCCCATAGATATGTAATGTAGGTATTTGAGTTATGTTTGTTTGATAAAAGTTTTTTTAAAAGTAGGTATTGTTTTCCATACTACTTTGTTTATTATGTTTATTATACCGGATGTGCCACCGAAAACTGTCAATTGCCTATATCTTGAAAACGGTAATCGACAGGGCCGTAACCAGGGGGGGGGGCATTGGGGGGCAATGCCCTATCTTTCAAATGATCATGCCCTACCTTTAAAACACAACATGCGTTAAGGTTTCTTTAGGAAATTTAGGAGTAGATGATGAATAGACCTGAAATCGAGTAACTGCGAGGATAAGTATTTCCGAAAACGCCTAATGTATGCAAAAATACTTATTTGATATTTACACAGAAGTAGTTTTTCGAATGGTTGTTTTTCGCTTCGAAAGAGTGCGAATGCAAGGATAATACACACTAGGTACTACACAGGATTGCTTATCGGCCCCGTTTGTGGAAATCCATATGATGTAGCACCATTGACGATATCATCAGCTACGTCGTCAGCTGTTTGCGCCAGCGGTCGTGGTTTAGGGGCGAGTTCAGGAATGATATACACGCTGTGTGAGTGTGACACCGGTGCGACGCCCTAGCTATTCAAAAATGCTAGACGGTACTATGAGCCTAATGGCCAATTGTCAATTCAGGCCACATTCAGGCACACCCATAAAATCGCACTCGTATCCTGTGCGTTATTTCTGAACTCTTAAAAAATTTGCCTTACCCTCATTAGCCCCATTTTGTTTACCTATAAAAAATTTAAGGGGGGGGGAGCAAGTAGTGTATGCCCTAGATTTGTCATGCGCTATCACAAATTTGACTCTAGCTACGGCCCTGGTAATCGATTAAAAAAAAATTAAAAACCCGTTTGGAGGGTTGAAAGGGGGAACCAAAACAAAGTACTTTTCTACTCCCTGAATCACCCCTTCCCCCCTGGCCGTAGCTACCCTAACCTCGAAATCTTAAATGGCACTATGGGTCATGTGATACCTTTTTCGAAAGGTTTTTCAATTCTCTAAATCGAATTATCTAAATACAAATTTAAATTGTCACAAAATGGCGCATGCTTCGAGTTAACAACTTTGCTCTCTTGAGGACATGAACACTGTCAGGTATAGTAAGGGGAAAGAGGTTCAAAAAAATAAAATCTTGATGATTTCTTCAAAAATATTTATGCTGTTATTCAATTTGTATAACATCGATTTCAAATAACATTAACCTGTTCTACCCGACCAAATGAGGTTTTCATCAAAATGAGAGTCACATTCAAATCTGGATAATTTTGTTTTGCCAATCGATTACCGTTTTCAAGATATAGGCCATTGACAGTTTTCGGTGGGACACCCGGTATACATACATGTACACGTTACATACACGTAGGCCTAAATTTGTTTGTCCAACAAAGGAATAAGTATTTTTTTTTCGTAAAGTTAGTAATATCGTTTAATTTTTTCTCCAGGTTTGATTATTACCCATTTTCTGAGATAATAAAAACAGGGCCTCTGTTAGGCTTAATGGTGGCCATTGTAGGCGCATGTCCCGAACAGTGTCCAGTTGGATGGAAAAAAACATAAACAAAATGTTAATTTTTAGTGAAATTAATTATTTTGCTTATAGAAAAATTTATTTACTGTGTGGAAAATTATAAAACGCTTTTAAATTTTTAGGCGCTGGTCTAAAAAGTTTGGCCACTGTTGGCTGCTCTCCCCTATTTACCATAGAGGTATTCTCTATCTTTCTTGAAACTTGATTTTGAATCTAAAGTTCTGTGGCGAAGTCAAATTTCTAACTAGATCACGATGGAATTTTGTAGAAAATTACTATATGGACTTCTTTTTCGATTTCGAAATCAGTATTGAAGTCACTATTCTTCACTCACGGTTTCAAAATAGAATTCTACAAGGGTGTATCAGGTTGAAATACAAATACTTTAAAGATAGAACGCTGAAATTTTCAGTAATTCGCATCTCAGTAGAGAACTACAATCCCTGGAAATATCAGCTCATTAGGACTTATAGTTCCAGAAATAAAATCGTGTTAGGCAATTTGGGGTGATTTATCAATTTTTCTGAGTGCCTTTTTTCATAGAATCTGGCTCCAAATCTCAGAATAATTTAGTGTATGGACTTTGGGGGATCCCAAAGGACCATTAGGACACAAAATCTCAACAAGAAAAAAAATTTAAATTTCATCGTTTTAGTCATTCGTAGTCGCCGCCTCAGATATTCGAGATTCCTACCAAAAATGATTCTTTGTCGGCGATGCCCGGATAAACAAAAACCGCAGCAAAAACCCTACAGATAAGGATTGTGAATAAAAGTCCAAGAGCATCAGTTAAATTCATTTTGAGTATAGTATTATTGTATTGTTCTGGATTCGATTTTAAGTACTTAATTTCTTGCATTAAATATTTGAAAGATCTTTTAAGAAGATTGAAAAATAATTTTTAAACATTATTTATAAGAATTTAAACCAAATAATTTCAAACCAAATAATTTTGTATGCAAGCGGTTCTTGACAGGTGCTCCCTGACTAAATGCAGGCCGGCTGAAATATAAACATGGGTACTTTTTCGTACGAATCTCGAATACTATGGCGGATACTATGGCTATTTAATTTATATTTAAGAAAACTACCTGTCTTGCAATAAATTCTTTAAAATAGAAAATATGGATGTTAAAATCGAAAATCATAATCTGAAATAAGTTGTTTCAAAAGGGCAAGGGTACGATGCAGGTACCCAACCAGGATTGACGCCAAATGATTTTGTAATAACCCGGGAAAAATAGACCCGTAATTTACAATGTCCTAACAGTAAAAATTAAATGTAATCAAATACTCAAAATTTGAATCTCCAATATTTACATCAGTATCAATAAATTAAAAATGAAACAAATTAGCATTGACCCCAAATTAATTAAAATATTTATATACGCTCAAATTTTATTATTTAGTCACCAAGCGCGTGTCATCGCATAAATCAAATTCATAAAAATATTAAAATCAAGGTAAAAGTAATTAAATTGGGTGATTTATGGCCGAAACGAGTTTTTCGGCATCCTTTGAGTTATTCGTCCTCGCATTCTTACACCAAATCTGTTGACCCCGATGATCCAGGAAATTGCGACATAATTATTCGGTTTTAAACAAATAAATATATTTCTTAGAAAAAAGAACAATTAATGAGTTGACATGACCCGGAATATTTTTGGGGGAATGAAAAATATAAAAACAGCGGATTTAGAAGTTTACAATCAGTTTTAAGCTTAGTCTTCAATCAGTCCAGTTGAATCTTCGGTTCAGTCTTGAGTTTAAGTCTACAGCTCCTATGGCTATTTGCACGGCTATCACTTAAGGGATATTTAATCTAAGTCTAGCTTTGAATGTGACTTTTGTTTCTACAAGAGTCACATTCAAAGCTCCAAGTGGATTAAATATCCCTTAAGCTGTAGCGGTGCAAATAGCCGCTAATGAGTTAGTCCGGATAAAATTCGCGAAGAGTTTCTTTTATTTTGTTGCCTCGGGAAAACGCGTTAAATCGAATCTTTGAAAAAGTAAGGGAAAATTGTGGAAAAAAGACCATTTAAATTCGTTCAACATTATGTGCGAGCTTTAAGTATTCAAAAGAATTAAATTAGATTAGTTTAGTGTTTAAAGGACGAAATGTAAGTAGTTACTCTAGTGACAAGTTTTATTTTGACTTTATCAATAATTGAAATGACTATGAAGTGAATTGACTATGAAACCTTATTGCATAATTATTATTAACTTGAGTGAATTGACTTTGAATATTTTTGTGCTTAGTATAGAGGAATATAAATTCAAATGACTGTTAATTGAAATGAATTTTACTGAAGAGATTGGATAATCAAATTGACTGTTCTGTTCCGTTTAGCAAATGATTAGTTTAGATATTTTGGCTTCTAATTAAATTAATTATGATAAAATGTTTATTGTTTTGATAGTATTTACTCTGGCTAAGTCCACGATTTTTGAGTATAAGTATTGTACAAAATTTGGCAGTAAGCAATTTCAGGGATTTTATACGTTTATAGAACATGAAGTTATAATAATTAAATTAAATTATGAATTATTGTTTTAAGGTGAAAAAGGTGTTTAGGATTTAAAAATATTGTACCTAACGTAGTAGGGCTATATGAAAGGGTTATTTAAGCACAAGGCTTATTGATTGCATCAATTAAGAACTGTTTATTTTTGTATTGAAAGGTGTTGGATTAGGGTTTAGAAAATTTGTACCGTTGTTATAAGAAATGAAAATCTGTTTATTTTCTTATCAATAAAGTATAATTATTAACGGATAACCATATAAAATCACCTAAAACCTAAAAAAACCTAGTATATTTGGGATCAGGTTTAAAAGGCTAATCCAATGGGTCAATAATATACGTTCCATTTAAAAAAGTTCAGCTTTGCTTTGCCACCAAGGAAGTAGAAAGAAGGTTTGGAATGGGCTTTGCGTCATTCAATTGATCTCAGAATGAGATAGCGCTAGTAAGGGCAAAAAATCTATTGGATCTCCCATATCTCTCACTCTAACCCTGAGCAAGATAGCGCTAGTGAGGGCAAGAAAATATCACGGTTCTCTCCTGTTCTCTCACTCTAATGTTGGCCGCAAACATATGTGTATTGAGTAGATAGGCAAAGGGCTATTCCAACTTTCTTATTACTTCATTGTTTGCCACACTTTTGTGACACGCCCTGTAAACTTCTAACTAACTTCATTAAAAACTTTCTGATATTACCTACAACTTTCACATTTGACATTTCTGGGTATCTTTTCAAACAGATGGGATAGGTGTGGGTGCAAAATATGCCGTTGCGTTACAGGTGTGTTCTTTTGTTATTCGATTTTTATTTATCTAGTCCAACTTCGACTACTCATCACTCTCGTTATCACTGGTGCATTGTTCCTATGTGCGAAAATACTTCAATAAAAACTCCGCAAAAGACATTTATTCAAGTTCCAAGGCAGGAAAATAGAAGGAAATTATGGCTTGATATGGTTAGGCGAAATCCAAAGCAATTTTCCAAAGCCACTTCAGTTTTTGTGTGTGAAGATCATTTTGATGTAAGTATTTAGAAATCATCTGGTGTATCAAAAATATTATAGCATAAAATGTTTTTTTTTTCAGTTGGAAAATGACATGGAGAACTATTTACGGTGGAAAATGATGGGAGGGCCAAAACTGCTTAAACAAGAAGCTTTTCCACATAAGTTTGAATGCCAGAAGAAGAGGTAAGTAACATCAGGTGAAAGTATTCCTCGTAAGAGTGCTGGAAAGAGAAGAAAGTTGCAAGAACTTCAAAGTGCTTTAACTGAACCTTCTTGCAGCTTTGACCTAACTGTAAGAAATATAAAAAGCTTAACTGGTGACGGTGCTGGTGTTATTGTCATGCCTCATGAAACTGAGTTGGTGGAATTGACCATATTAGTAAGGTTAGGAAAAGTCGGGCGCGAAATTTGAAATGGGTTCCTAAATACATTCCAACAAATTTTACAGCAATGTATTTCTTATAGGGGATTCAAAAGAGTAATTTTCAGACTGGAATAAGTCGGGTTCTGGGTATTTCTTAGTATTTGAACCTATATTATACGTCATACTATGAATTAAAAAATACAAATGATTATAACCAAAAGTGTCTGTTTTCAGTGGACGTAAGTTATATTATAAAACCCTGTGTTATTATTATACAGAGAATTTCATACATCTGTCAAAACTGGTATTCCAACAATAAATTGACATGTTTTGATTGTTGATTTGAACCAATCAGATTGTAATTAAGCGATAATTTGCACTACACCTTTTCCAATTGTATTTCAGAAGCTGTCAAATGTATTTCAGAAAGTGTTAAATGTATTTCAGAATAGCCAAATGTATTTCAGAAAGCGTTAAATGTATTTGAGAATAGTCAAATGTATTTGAGAAAGCATTAAATGTATTTCAGAATAGTCAAATGTATTTGAGAAAGCGTTGAATGTATTTCAGAATGGTTGAATGTATTTCAGAAAGCTTAAAATGTATTTCAGAATAGCCAAAAGCATTTCAAAAAGTGAAAATTCGGCGGAAATAATTCAGGAGGGAGGTAACACAAAAAATTACCTACCTATGTCTGTGCAGTTATTCCTACGTGAGCTCGACTGACCCAACAGGAGCTTAATAGTAGCATTTAACTATTCTGAAATTCATTTAACACTTTCTGAAATACATTTAACTATTCTGAAATACATTTGACGCTTTCTGAAATACGTTTAACTATTCTGAAATACATTTGACGCTTTCTGAAATACATTTAACTATTCTGAAATACATTTGACGCTTTCTGAAATAAATTTAACTATTCTAAAATACATTTGACGTTTTCTGAACTACATTTGACTATTCTGAAATACATTTGACACCTTCTGAAATACAATTGGAAAAGGTGTGTAAATTATCAGATAATTGCATACTAACTGGTGCGAAAACTGGTGTTTTGACATTTTTTGACAAAAAATTTAAATTTTTGATTTATGAAATTCTCTCATTAAATACAACTCGTGCAATGGAAATATATTTATAATTTTCGACAAATTTGCACTCATGCGTTTTTAACTGAAAAAGGCACTCGTGCACTACGTGCACTCGTGCTCTTTTTCAACTAAAAATGCATTCGGGCAAATTTCCCAAAAATTATCAATAATTTCCATTGCACTAGTTATATTACTATTGATAATTCCCTTTTTTAATGTTAAACATAAGCTGTAACGGGTTTTTCTGGGTGTTAAGCTGTGGCAGTGGCGGTCCATAGATGATTTTCTGGGGGGGGGGGGGGGGGGGGTAATGGATTTTTTTAAGAGTGCCACGCCCAAATTTGCACCTGAAAATCGTCTGAAACACACCTCAAGCAAAAATGTATCCCGATGCCGGCAAAATAGTTATACAGGATGTCCACTTAGTAGACGATATCTCCTTTCAGGGTAATGCAAGAAAAAAAAAATTAAATTACAAAGTTGTTTGATACTCTAAGATCCATTAGTAGTTTAAAATATTTTTGAATATACACAGGGTGTTCCGTAAATGAGGTATGTGACAGACCTTTGTTATTTTAAATGGAATACCTTACATTTTAGAACATTAATGGATTGTTCTAACAATCCTATATACTTTTTCTTAGGAACTACCTATACCTATACCGGGTGTCTACGAGATCAGTTTCGCGCTGGCATTTGCTGGTTTTTTTTTCGATGGCAAAGATTTTTGGTATAGAGTGTAGGTTTGAGAAATGTCATATTTTGACATGTGTGCCAATGTTTGGTAACTTCCGGTTTGAGCGGAAATGGTCCTAACTCCGTAATTTTGAATGGCATCCCAATAATTTTTTCGCATTTTTGGTATCTGCGGATCATGATGTGTAGGAAAACGTCAAATTTGAACATTTTTGAAGAAATTTTAGAACTCTGGCTGAAAATTTATTTTTGTATAATTTAATGAAGTTTTGATATTTTATGTTGGCCATAAAGACTCATAAAATCATCCTACAGTAGATGTTTCACATACTCTGGAAAGTCAGGAACGGACTTGCCACCATATTCATTTTGCCAAATTTTTGACAGGAGTCATTTTACACAGCTGAAAAGTGATTTTTCCTACAGCCGTGCGGAAAAATCGATTTTCCGCACTGATATGCGTGCGGAAAATGAGTTTTCCCGCACGGTGTGGTAAAACTTTTACCGCACGCATATCAGTGCGGAAAAAGTTTTTCCGCACGGCTGTCAGTGCGGAAAAAATTTTACCGCACTGATCTATCAAAAAAAAAAGAAACATTTTACATTTTTACGCCTGTAGGAAAAATATTGTACCTACCTAACACTTGCGGAAAATATTTTTCCGCACTCGGCTGCCGCGTGCGGAAAAATTCATTTTCCGCACTTGTTAGGTAAATAGCTATTTTAAATACTTTGGTCATTTTTCTTAAAAAAAGGTATTCTACATTTGTGTGATAACCGAGCTTGTGTGAATAAAAGCGAGATACTGTTTAAAGCGTTTAATAATTAATGTCACAGATAATATATAGAATTATGCAATAATATGAATTAGGGCTTGGACGTTCGCGGAGAGGACCGTAGCGAGCGGCGGCATTAAAAGGTGCTTATCGTCACGTAGGTAACAGTAGACTGGCGGAGGTAGTCGTGGTGGTGGTTCTCGATGAAGCCGGATGTTTCGTCATGAGTTCCCTGTAGCGACCCCTGGTAGTGTACCTTGGTTCGTTTGGGGTCATGGGAGCTGACCACTTGGCAACCTGGCTAGAGGCTGACCCATCACACCTCCCTCTTTAAGCTGAAACTCATTTTCGTTAACATTACCTAATGACAATTCGTATTTATGTAAATACGATGCATTTCCACTGCTGTGCTGAACATTGCACTAGTGGTTGTGAGCAAACACTCGTTGCGTTTATTTGTCTCAGAATTGTACGACTTAGCGTCCTGATTGAACTTTATCACAACGACTGTTAGCTCTGTTTGAATGCTAAAGTGTTTCATGCCGTGGGATTATGTGACTCTGACATTACAAATGTGTTTCGTCTACAATGACTTTGATGTTTATTATTCCGCCAACAGCTGCGTCCATCTGAGTCTGAAATTAATTTATGCCTAATTCTACAATACATTATTCGTTAATCAAAGTCTAATATAAAATCTTTCAAATATGAATTCGTTTTTCTATTTCGCTTGGGCCTCATTTTGGTTGCGTCATCAATGTCCTTAGTGCTCGATTTTCTAAATTTATCAATTAAATTTTCGTCACTTACATTTGTTGGGTATATTGTCGCACTGTATTGTTTTTTTACAGCACCTGTCGCATTGTTCATGGGCCTAACACTAGGAGTATAAGTGTTTTCTAAATCTAAATGGGATGCACTGTCCAGGGTCACTGGAGCAGCGTTACAACTCACACTGGTTTCATTTTGGGACTGGTCCAATGGTGGTTCGGCTATGTTCTGTGAAATGATTATATTATTAGTATCATTTTCATGACTGGAATTGTTAGAAATATTAATATTGTCATTTTCAGAAGTATCATCATTATTAGGCTGAAAAGAATTGTTATTTTTATTGTTAGTAAAGTCAGCAATTTTGTTATTATTGTAATTTAAGGTGTTTTTCTGCCTTTCCAGTTCTCTCTCGCCTAAACCTTTCCCTTCCCCAGCCCTTATTTGGTTGGCATGTCTTTTCCAGACATTTCCTTCTTCGATTTTGCATTTGAAGGTCGTTTTTCCTATTTGTTTTTCGATTTTTGCACTTGTCCAGGTTTCTTTGTTGTTTCGGTAGTCTCTCACGAAGACAGCTTGGCCTTTCTCGAATAGCTTGCGTTTGACTCCCCCATAATTTCTCTTTTGAGCTTCTTGAGCTTTTAACATGTTTTCTTGAGCTTCTGAACACCATTTGTTCGTTTTTGTTGGACTTGTTTTGTTGTTCTCTTTTAGTAGTGTCAATCTGGAACGAAGTTCTCTTCCAAACATTAGCAATGCTGGTGATTTTCCAGTTGTAGTATGTGGGGTTATTCTATAGTTGAATAAAAATCTTGATAAAAGATTTGTCATTTCGATGCCTCTGTTCTCCGGGTCTGACATGTATGTGTAAATTTTGTTTTTACAGGTTTTGACTGCGTTTTCTGCAAGTCCATTACTTTGACTGTTGTAAGGAGGGGTTGTAACATGTTTTATTCCGTTACTTGATAGAAAACTTTCGAATTCTTCTGAGGTGAATTGTGTTCCATTGTCAGATACCAAAGTCACTGGCAACCCGAATCTTGCAAAAGTCTGTCTCAAGAACTCATTTGTAGCCTTAGTTGTTGTAGTTTTAGTTATAACGGCATCTATCCATTTACTGTATGCGTCAATTATTATTAGGATATAGTTTTTACCTATTTGAAGATAATCGATATGGATTCGGCTAAATGGTTCTTTTTCTATGGGCCATGGTGTCAACTTTGTTTTCGGTAGTGCAGGCTTGTTGATCATGCATGAATGGCATGATTTCGCCACTTTTTCTATTTCTGCATCTAGCCCTGGCCAGTAAAACATTGATCTAGCTCTGTTTTTCATTTTGGATGCACCAAAGTGTCCTCCATTTACGTGAAGTTCTTGTAGTAACCTTTCTCGTAGTTTTTGGGGTATCACTAGCCTTAGCCCCCATAGAATTGTACCATTTTCTATAAAGAGTTCATTTCTACGATCAAAATATGGTTTTAT